TGACGAGGGTTTTCTCGTGAAGGATACTTGTATCATTCGTGCAGAGGTTTATGTTCGGGAGCCAGGACAGGAGTATCAAGTGAATGAGGTTGTACACGTGGAAGCCAGTGTCCCAAAGCCAGAAGACCAAGGTCGAGATTTGAAAACTCCTTCACCAGTTTCTACAAAAGTTGGTGCTGAGCCTATTGAACAAATCAATAAGGAGATGTCCTTAGGCATGAAATATTATATGGAGAAAGTAGAGCAGGTGGGAAAGCTGAAGGAGAATGTGGTAGCTCTTGAGTTGGAAATAAAGAGGCTCAAGGAAAATCTGTCTACCACTAAGGGAGATCTTGATGTAGCTACAGACTTGTTCAAAGCTGGAGGCTCCGAAGAGAATCTGGATGCTGAATTAGGATATGGTAGACCAAGGAGGAGGAGGAGTGCGGAGGCTGGATATAGTTGCGGTTTTGGTGGCTCGATTTGGTTGCGGTGTTGGCCATGGAGTAAGAGCAGAGAGATAAACAGGGAGAAAAACTGAAAAGAATGTGATAATAATTTGAGCTGTATTAGTATTGTGGCACTAATAATGGTGACTATAGAACTGTAATGTTATTTTATTGCAAGATTCACTTCAGATTCTCAGTGTGACCAATATGCAATAAATTAGCTATGCCTGTGTATGTGAATAGTTGAATATGCATGTTTCGATGGCTGAAATGATTTATCATTATTATTTTTTTAATTATGGAAATGTATTTTCTGACCTTAGTAACACACCATTCCTTATTTCCTTTGATAGTTTTTGGGCTAAAACTTCAGTATCGAGTTGAAAAATCTTAAATCCAAAAACTAAACCAATAGTCATGTCATTGATTTAAAATCAAATTTAATGAGAAATAAACATCATCAACATCATCTTTATCCCAAATTAATTGGGGTCGGTGGTAGATGAACCCAAATAAAATATACAAAAAGGTTGGGAAAAAAAACATAAAAGTAAAAATAAAAATAAATAAATAGAATAATATATATATATATATATATATATATATATATATGGGAAATAACTGTCTTATGTCACATAAGACAATTATCTTATATTATACACACATAGAATCATGTGTCCATTTTTTCTTTTCTTTTCTTATTTTTTTTAAATTGAGGATCCCACAACTTTGTTTCACTCATAAGATACTTATCTTATGCAACATAAGATTAATAACTCCATATATATATATATAGGGTTTTATAAGAGTTATGTTGTAGGAAAAGTGATTGTGTAATGTTATAGAGATTCGTTTTGCGTGCCTTAATTTTTTATTTATTTTTTTGTTTTAAAAAGTGTGGGCCCCACAAAATGTTGTGAGGGTAGGAAAGTTTGTTGTGTTATGTTAAAGGATAAAATGAAAACCCATATATATATATATATATATAAACAGAAAAGTAAAAAAGAAAGGGAAAAGAAGAAGAGGAAAAACGAAGGGGAAAATGACTAAAGGGACCATCTGGAACATAGGAATAACAACGGGTCTAACCCTCCACCATGCTTATAGCTTTTCTCCATTCCGTTCTAAGGCATATCGTCCACCAATCTATATCTCACTCCATTAAATCTTGTTTTACTACCTTCCCCCAAGTAAGTTTCGGTCTACCTCTACCTCTTTTTGTGTTGAGCTCTTGGTAACAAACTTTTGTTCTTACGGGAGCATCCAGGGGCCTTCTCATTACGTGCTCAAACCACCTCAATCTATGTTCTCCCATCTTCTCAGCCACCGGTAGTACTCCTACCTTTCGTCGAATATCTTCATTTCTTATCTTATTCATCCTCGTATAACCACACATCCACCTTAACATCCTCATCTCTGCTACTCCCATTTTATGCTCATGTTGCCTATGTGTTGGCCAGCATTCAGCTCCATATAGCATTGCAGGTCTTACTGCTGTTTTATAGAATTTTCCTTTTAACTTAAGGGGGATTTTGCGGTCACACAAAAACCCAGATGCACTGCGCCATTTCATCCACCCTGCTCTGATTCTATGATTTACATCCTCATCAATCTCTCCACCTTTTTGCAAAATGGAGCCCAAGTATTTAAAAGCGTCTTTCTTGGGTACCTCTTGATCACTTAGATGCACGGGATCTTGGTCTACATCTCTTACTAGAGAAAACTCACACTTCAGATACTCAGTCTTGCTTCGACTTAATGTGAATCCTTTATATTCCAACGTACTTCTCCACAATTCAAGTTTTCTATCAACACCATCCTTGCTCTCATCAATAAGCACAATATCGTCTGCAAAAAGCATACATCATGACACTTCCTTTTGAATATCTTTTGTTAGTTTATCCATAACTAAGGCAAAGAGATAAGGACTTAGAGCTGACCCTTGGTGTACACCTACCGTGATAGGGAAATAACTTGATGTTCCGTTACAAGCTTTTCACACATGTAGTAGCCCCATCATACATATCCTTGATTTACTTTACATACTTTGATGGTACCTTTTTCTTCTCCAGAACCCACCATAAAACTTTCATTGGAACCCTATCATATGTTTTCTCAAGGTCTATGAATACCATATGTAAGTCCTTCTTCTTTTCTCGATATCTTTTCATTAGTTGTCGCATCAAGAAAATGGCTTCCATGGTACATCTTCCTGGCATAAATCCAAATTGATTTACAGAAACCTTGGTATCTCTCCTCAAGCGATGCTCAATAACCCTCTCCCACAACTTCATAGTATGGCTCATTAGCTTAATGCCTCTATAGTTTGAACAATTCTTTATATCTCCCTTGTTTTTGTAGATAGGCACAATCATACTTTTCCTCCATGCATCAGGCATCTTATTTGTCTGGAGAATCTTATTGAAAAGATTGGTCAACCATTTTATTGTCACATCCTCCAGGCCTCTCCACACTTCAATAGGGACCCCATAAGGTCCCAAGGCTTTATTAGTCTTCATCCTCTTTAAAGCCTCCTTAACTTTATGTGTATTAAGTCTGCGCACAAATCTTCTATTCAAATCATCATAAGCGACCTCTAAGTCCACCTCGCTTATATCTCCATCCCCATTAAACAGCTTGTTGAAGTAGTTCATCCATATTTCATTTACATCTTCATCTCTCACCAAAAGTTTTTGATTTTCATCCTTGATGCATCTAACTTGGGTGAGGTCTTTACTTTTCTTATCCCTTACTTTTGCAAGTTTATATATACCTTTTTCACCATCCTTGCTCCCAAGATTTTTATACAAATCAACAAAAACCTTGCCTCTAGCTTCTCGCACTGCTTTCTTTGCATTTTTTCTCCCCAATCTAAACTTTTGCAAGTTCTCTTCACTGGGACTTTTATGCAAAGATCTAAAGCACTCCTCCTTATGTTTAATTGCCTCTTGCACCTCTTCATTCCACCACCATGTTTTCTTTGTATGAAATCCATTTCATTTGCTTTCTCCCAACACCCTCATTCCCATATTTTGAATACACTTAGTCATCTCATTCCATATTGCATTTGCTCCTCCATCAAACTCCCAAGGTCCTTCGTGCAACATTCTTTCATTGCACTCTCTCTCTTTTCCCTCCTTAAGCTTCCACCACCTTATCCTTGGGTTCTGAGCCCTCTTCCTCATTGTAAGTACTTTGTTGAATCGAACCTACAGGACTATCAGCTTATGTTGCGTAGCGACACACTCCCAGGGTAGACCTTACAGTCGACACAAGAAGTTCTATCTTCTCTTCTAGCTAGAAAGAAATCAATCTGACTACGATTTTGGCCACTATGATATGTGATTAGATGTGACTCCTTTTTTAAAAAAAAGGTGTTCGCTAGCATCAAATCGTAGGCTAGTGCAACATTCAAGATATCTTCTCCAGTCTCGTTTCTCGTCCCATAGCCAAAACCTCCATGAATTCTATCAAAACCTCCATTGCTTTTACCAACATGACCATTTAGATCTCCTCCTAAGAAAATCTTCTCCTCTCGAGGTATTCCCCTCAAAACCTCCTCCAAGTCTTCCCAAAATTGGTTGCAATCCAACTTGGGGCGCATACACACTGAGGATATTCAGGATTAAATCACCTACTACAAGCTTAACCAGGATAATCCTGTCGCCTTTCCTTTTGACGTCCACAACTTTATCTCTAAAACTTTTATCGATCATAATTCCAACACCATTTCGACTCTTGTTAATACATGTGTACCATAACTTGAAACCAGTTCCATCCACTTCCTTGGCCTTTTCTCCAGCCCACTTAGTTTCTTGCAAACAAACAATATTCACTTTCCTTCTAGCAAAAACATCTGCTAACTCCCTCAATTTACTCGTTAAGGTTCCTATGTTCCAGCTTCCCAATCACATCCTTAACCCCTGGGCTGTGCTTCCCCGCCACGCTCGCCCATCCGCGTGTTGAGACCCTGACATACTTTTCACCAAATCCGGGTGAAGACCTGGCGCCTTGCCTTGGGACAAGGACACTAGCACATTTTTCACTGCACCCTGGGCCCAATGCAGCGCCTTGCCTTGTGGCAAGGACCCTAGCCCATTTTTCGCTACACCCGGGACCCGATGCAACGCGTCGTTATTAAGGGTATGCCCCAGCAAAAAATCATAAGGGTTCATCACATAAAAATATAGCTGTTTTTTATGGCCGGTTCGCTACACTTGACGCCAACCCTCCTCCTTTGTCCTGGCTTGGGACAAACTATGCATGCAAGCACACATGGGCGGAGTTTAATGAGAAATAAACAAATTATCTAAGTTAATCCAAACTAATTTAATTTATCTGATTTTAATTATCATGTCGCCGGATTATCCTACCTCACCAAGACCCTGACTCAAGGAAATATACCATATAAGAGAAATTTAGAAATCCAAGATATTAGAACACTTCAAATTATAAGACTAAATTTTGTCACGTGCTGCGTTCAGGTCCCGTGTCGGTGCTTATAATAATACAAATGACAACAAAAAGGTAAATCAGGGGATGTAAAACTAAGTTCTCCGTTGAATATCATGTCTACAGTACTCTGTACGAGAGTAAACCATCAATCGTCTCAACAACCAACCGGTTCATCCGCACTAAAAGCAGCAAATATGATTTTGCTTTAGGACCTGGAAAAACAGACAGCAGCATCAGGAATAAAATGATTGGTAGTACGAAGGATTGTTGGTCTGGTGCTAGAATACAAAGTGTTCTCATAAACTATTATAAAATATTGACCTTCCTGGAGAGGCTAATGTATATTGGGGGTAAGTTGCTTGAACCCAAAACAACTCCCAGTTTCAGGTATGGGTGATTAAATCACAAGCAGCAATTTTGCATTGGTCGAATCAGGAAAAAAGAAAAGAGCAAAGATGGTAAAGCATGACTACCTAATTCGAATGAAGGAATTTCATCTTGACGGAAGAAGTTGCATCCATTGGTCTTCTTGCTTAGGGTTGAATTAATCTTATCAACAGCTATAAGTAGATCCTAGGAGGTCGAGTTGCACAAAGAACCCAAAAAAAATGTCAAACAGGCTAACAAATTTCTCTCGCACACGTAATTGTCAAGTCATATTATCCTGGAGTCTGCATTTTTAAGCTAGAGAAATATCCGTTTACAAATTTTTTTTACAAATTATACTAAGTATGATCGGTCATATATCTTTAATTAAAGTATACTGGTCAAACATAACGTAGTTTGTAAAAATTTGGATATAAAAAATTTGTAAATATAACCTTCCCGATAAATAATACCATACCATGGCACCTTGTCACAATATCTAGAATCTGAAAGGAAATGCTCGAAAAATGAATACTACATAATACACTAAAATAATTAAACGAGTACGCAACTACGCAAGTCCATGCACAAAAAAGCATCTTGTTGTTCTCAGAAAAGCACCAACAAATATGCCTATGGTATATGATACAGATGTCCTCGAACTTGAACTGTTGAACATGACTAGGGTTAAACTGTTGAGGTCAGTCTATTTACATATAATTAACATTTATTGATATTAGAGATATTAGCTTGGCAAAAACCTGTCAGCTACCCTTCATTAATGTAGTTTTGAAGAACTGCAATCCCTTGTATATAAACGTGTATAATATTGAAAGGCATGAATAACCTCACCTCCCACGATGCTAGACCCTTCATGTAGGCAGGAAGACATTCAAATTCACCCTCCAATATCTTTAAAATGGAGCTAGGAGCTTCTGCTGACTTTAAATTTTCCTTGTCTGCCTCTATATTTTATTTTAGAAAAAAAATAAAAAATAAAAAATAAAAAATAAAAACAACGTATGCTAAAGGTAAACTCTTGAAACTGGAGAAAAAAAAATTCAATTACCATAAGATAAGAATTTCCTTCCTTCAGAAGACACCATTTTGTCTGGAACAGGTTGATGTTGCCGCTTAAACTCATGTACTCTGTTCATCCAGGGCTTGAAGAATGAGAATTATGCAGGAATTATCAATAGAAATGCAGAAAGTCCCACAACAGGCAAATGATATCCGCAACTTTTAACTTACTTATCAGGTTCTTGCGAAGATAAATCACCTGCATGCACAGATGAAAAAGATAGTGGCAAAAATGGAATTAGCAACATACAATTATTTTGAAAAGCTGAGTTTACTTTTCATGCAATCGTCAATATGGCCAGCGGCCACAAGACCAGATCGTAGGAGCTCCCTTGCAACCAAAAAACAATATAGACACATGCCACACAACATAACATATAGCCTAGCCTAAAAAATCCAATATCACAGGGAAAAAAGGAACAATGCTAACTAGAAAAGAAGAATCTTGTAACTAAACATAAGCATGGAAATGGATTCCTCGCAATTAACAAGCATGCCTATGAAGGCAATTGTTATTCACTAACCTTCAGATGCCAACGTGGCTAGACATGCATCCGACAGCCCAAGCTTTTTTAAACTCAAAGATTCATCAAGTCTGAAGAAAATTAAGGGGCATATAAAGTTTTCTATTATAATACACCTATAAAACTGGTCAATGACCCAACGACTGTCATATGTAAGAGTTAATCTTATCAGAGCTTTAACACAATTTCTGCAACAACAAAAAAAGTACCAAAATTGAAAAGGCAATCATATGTAAAATCAATTTAATTTATTTCTTTTGTTTTTTCGACACCATATGAAATTTGTTCAGAAGCTGAAAATCGTATTAGTTCACTACCTGCATTCATAACCTACATGGAACCTGAATTGTGGAAGAAAGAAAATGAGGAATAAGATAAGGATACAAATCATCTTCTTCGAAATTCTTGAGGCTAGAATCGGCCACTGAACCATAGAAAGAAGGACTATCCAATTTGCCTTCCGAGATTTGATGTTGTATGTTCTGAATTTCATCTTCCTCCTCAACATCTGGAACTAGATCCAGAGAGTGAAAAGAAAATTCAATTTAACGAGGACAGACAATCACGAAGCAGAAAATCGTAATAGGATTTTTTTTATATATAAGTACCGGGAACGTAGCCGTAGCTCTTTAGACGATCTTCGAGTTCAACCAGATCGGTCTGGTTCTTCTTGTACAATTCGTTGCAGTGACCTAGGAGTTCTTCGAAAGATACGGTGCCGAACGACATGGAATCGAGCAGGTCGAGGTCAGTGCTTGCGCTCGATACGCGGCGATTAAGGCATTGCACGAAGGTAGACGACGCAGAATCTGTTACAAGAATGGAAGACTTGGAATTTTCACAGCAACGAAACAGAACAGTTAGAGAGAGAGAGAACCATACCGAGAGGAATAGGTCGACGCTCGATGGATTTAGTGAGGGCATCGGAAGTGGATTGGAGGTGGTTGCAGAACGATGCCAATGCGTCGCAGAAGCTGAAGATTGGATCCTCCGACATCGTCTTCTTCCTCTTTCTCTTTCTCTGCGAATTGCATTCGCACTTTGCAGCTCATTTCGAATTTTTCATATAGGGAAGGGTTAGGCGGGAACTTTAATTATAAAATTATATATTTTACTTTTGGTCCCGTCACCAAAATGTGTCTGTAGCTTATTGGATAGAGTGTCCGCTTCCTAAGCAGAAAGTCGTAGGATCGACTCCTACCTGTCGCTGCTTTAAATACATACTTTCTCTTTTTGTTTTGCTAGTGAATATACTAAATTACGCTTAAGATTTATAAAACATTATTGGTCACGATTCCAACTAGCGCCTGTAGCTCAGTGGATAGAGCGTCTGTTTCCTAAGCAGAAAGTCGTAGGTTCGACCCCTACCTGGCGCGATTGTTTTTTTGTTTTTGTTTTATCTCTTCTGTTTTTTTTTTTTTTTTTTTTTTTATATGGCCAAACTGCATGGTTAGATTGTGAACAGATAAGTATAGAAAAAAATTTACATATCATTATAAGCAGATTGTAATTACACAATCCGCTATTCAGCTATGAACAACTCTCCAAACATGACAAAAACTGGTGACATATCCATTTCCCTATTAAGAACTTAATGTACAGATAAACACGTCAAATGCAGCTAAATACTGGTATGGAAAAAAAAAAAGAACTAATATTTACAGCCAACTAGAACATAGATTTTGTTTTTTTTTTTCCTGAGTTTTTAGGTTAATTCTCCTCTCAGTGCAGAAGCAGCTCTTTGAATGGCTCTGGCAACCCTCCAGATCTCATGTTGAACTGCTGTGAGCCTTTCTCTTTCAATTATACCTGTTGACCGAGTGATAGAATCAGTAATCCCTGGGAAGAAATCCAACCTTTCATGGTCGTTGGAAGGCCCAAACACCTATACAGGAGAACAGAAACTGTCAGGTTTACCTGTAAGAAGCATAGTGGATCAGTAACTAACATTCAATGACGACAAAATACATTACTTGTTACTTGAAACAGTTAGTTGTTAAAATCTCGATTTATTACTACAATTTTACGTTTTTATATTTTTTTTTCATCAAAATAATTTTACCAATATTCCAAACGCTTTTACGTTTTTATTATTTTTTTACATTACGATTTTACGTTTTATGATTTTTTGGTCCCTTTCCTGATTTTAACAACATTTCAGGACTTCCAAGACACACTCACAAGATGCTTGAACCACTTCCTTCCTTTAAGTCCATCTGCATCAAGGAAGCCTTTTTCAGCAAGCATTAGTCTATCATTAAATGCTCGCTTTTTCATATCAACAAAACAACCTGCAGTTTCTTGCAATCTCAGTTTCTGCAGGTCAAAACAAAGACAGGTATAAATATATGGAGATAAGGAATGACAAGTAGGAGTTATTGTGCATTAGAGGATATATCAATACATTAAGATCCATTGCAGTTATGTTTATTTTACCTTTGATTCATTATTAGCTTCTTTGGCAGCAGAAGCAAATTCTTGAATTGACATAGTTAACGGATGCAGAGAAATTTGCTGGTCTAACAAGTTGCTCAATATGTTCTTGTACAGCTGCCAATAACAAGGGAAGATTATATAGTCAATATATGAATGCTGCAATTGATGGTAGCAATTGCACGCGTAACACCAATATTGCAAAATCTTTCTTCAATTCACTTCTAACTCTTTGCCTCAGGCCTTATATTAGTCTTCTATTCTTCCTTCTCAATATCATTGATTTAATGGAATTATTGTAAATTCAATTTTAAACAATTTTTAGGTTTAATAACCAAAAAAAAAAAGATTTAGTTTTCAATTCCAACAATTCAATGCAGAAATGCTCATTACCCATCCACTATTCAGGCAACTTCCAACCATTATAAATCATACATGTTACCAATTTGCAGCAATCAATTTAAATTTGTAATTAAATTTCAAATAAGATTCCTTAATTTGTTTTACTGCACAACCCTCCTCATATCAAAAGACAGTAGCTAGCAAGATGTTAATTAAAATAAAAGATTAATATAAATACACACCTGCAACTCATTTGCATAAGAAACGTAATCGAAAGGAAGAATGGAATCATCAGCCAGGTGAAGAGCAAGAAGCCCCCAAACTCCAGTAACTAATACAACAAAGAACAGAAAAGATACATCTTATGACTGCCACATGGATTAACAGTTTACTGAAAGAAAACCATTTTAAAAGCACACTAAGTGAGTAAACCAGAAATCTAACCAGCAACATGCCGCAGGAAGAATGGATCTCCATACTCTGTCATCCAGTTATAGGAGTCAAAAGCTGTGTGATAGACAGGAAAATCTGGAAAGTTGAAAGAGATTATTCATCACAAATTATTTAATATCCAAGCCTATGGATGTATAATAGATTATAGACAGGACATATGAAAAGCATATTGTGCTAGAAACATTTAATTTCACATCACTAAACAATATATACCAAGAACCTAAGGACTGGCTAGTGATCATTATATTTATCGCCCCTAGATGACTTAACAACAACAAAAATCACCTTTATCCCAAACTAGTTAGGTCGGCTCCTAGATGACTTAAATTAGAATTTAATTGTTAATTCTAAAATAGGGCCAATTGATAATCGAAAAGGTGAAAACTTATGGACCACTGAAGTACCAAGCCATACTTTAAATGAAAAACATTGACGCTTTAGAATCCCATGACCTTAGAATTCAATGAACCATTCCAATTTAACGAAATAAATTGAACCTCTATCAACGTCACCATAAACTAGAATTTCCTTTTAAGTCATCGACTAGCCCCTTATATGCCCAAAAAGATACATCAATAGATAGTATGACCACAGTAAATGCCTCCATATGTGATGGAACCAACAGACTTGGTTTTTCCAATCATTCAACTTGCATCTTTGGCATGACTTTCCACAAATCATATAGAATTTTGTAGGTCATATGGATGATGTACCTCTTCCATAATACATATCAATAGATGGAACCCCTGCATGTTGCACAAACGGAGCATAATCAGAATCAACTCCACTGAGCCTCTGAATCTGCAACCCAACAACAACAACAACAATAAAAAAAGGCGCTAAGAAATGAGGATATTAGACTCATATTAGCATAGTACAGCTATAAAATTCAACTGTCTTCGTCATATATATGTCAGATATCATATCGTATAAAAAAACCACTCTCCATTAAAAAAGATATTTCAATAGATAGTAACCACAGTAAACGGGGGTAAGGGTGAGGGCAATCCTTGTATGAAGTTTTACCCTTGCATATTGTATCCAATAAAAAATAAAAAAATGTGTCATCTAGAGAAACAAAAGAATGCTAGTCTCCTATAAATCCAGTTTCAGTATTACAAACTAGGGCTGCCAAGACAAGCAACTTGTGAAACCCAATGACACGCTGGTCATCATTAAAATATTTTGAGCTATATATCAGTTCAAAACCTAACAAAATAACGAAGTTAATCAAGGGAACAAAGTTCTCTGGAACATCCCAGCAACTTTAAGAAACAAAACACGTGGGGGAAAAGCAAGTGAGTCAGCAAATGCAAACAAATACTCGGCCAATAGTAACGAAAGCTCTACATTATTGTCACCACCAGCTGCAGCCCAATTCTCATACACCGATACACCCTCAGAGTCAGGATCCTTGACCTGAAATTAATGTAAATGCTCATTATTTCAGAATTACTGAATTACCAGGACAAAGCATATTATATATATGTAAAGAATTATCCATATGTACATTTGCACATGCAATTATAAATGATAATTACTTCAAATACCTTTTTTGTGACCTCAAGAATAAGACTGTCGAGCTGAGGAGTAGAGCGAACAAAGAAACCAGGGCCTTGAACAGCGCAGTCCACATTAAGGTATGCTACAGCTTTGGAACCCAGATTGATGAGGTTTTGTTCAACCCACTCAGTGGATCCTATCTACACAAACAGATAAACTTGATTTATAGAGAATATTACAGGAAATGACACCATAATTGAAATGAAGCAAACTCATTTAATTTGATAATAAGTATATCTAGCTATTGAAGAAGGCAACTGACAATCCACTGAAGAAAACTGATGATTTATAAGCATAAAGCTGGTAAAAAAAAAAAAAAAACCAATCTGTATCAAAAAGACTTCATACAATGACAAATAATTTAGGCAAAGAAGACAAATGATGGTACAAGTCCACCCCAAATGTCCAAAATTATTTGTAACTAGCTGTTAAGAGACAATAGTCAGTTTTAAGTTATTGATTTGGAAGTATATGAGCTTGGCTCAGTTGTACTTTGTCTTGTGTAGTACTAAACTCTTAACCTAGTAGTATATATACATAAGGAGACTGTGCTATACAGTTTATCCCATTGCGGCATAATTCTCTCATACTCTCTTTACTCTCTCTACACTTACCAACCACCAGTAACGCCACATCATAAAGATTCCAAGAACCATAATGCATATGAGTTGTTAAAAAGGAATTACTACCTACCATTCCAAATTCCTCTGCATCCCAACTGCAGAGAATAATTGTCCTCTTAGGCTCCCAACCCGAACTCGAAAGAATTGAAAACCGACGAGCAATGTCAAGTAGGGAAGCTGTCCCGCTGCTGGGATCAACAGCACCATATGTCCATGCATCTCTATGGTTCCCAAGCAGAACATACCGATCAGGTTCTTCCGATCCCTTTATCACAGCAAAAACATTCTGAATGGTGGCCATCTTCTTTTCACCCTGAAAAAAACAGAAAACAGATTCAAAACAAACACTACCATAACCTTTAACATAACTGTTCCTGTTCCTCTTTTTCAACTTTACAGCTTTTTTTCCATTTCTATCAACTCAGATGATGTCACACTCAGGTGGAAACCACAAAAGTTTTGACTTCAAAGTATAAACCTGGTAAGTGAAATTGAGTATTGTGGGGCCAGGACCAACATGCATGACCTTAGACCGCAGGGTGCCCCTCCATTCTAGGGGCACCGGAGCACCTCCAAGTGAATACAAAATGGAGTTAGCAATCTCAGAGGAAAGGGGCATAGATGGAATTTTGGGGAACCTTTTCAAAACCTCACTATCTTCTAAACCCAAGCTCTCGCCACCATCAACCCCAGCCCAACCAGGGCTAAGTGGGTCCCCTATCCCCCTCATCACGTGACCTCTCTCAAACCCTTTACTCCACGTGTCACCGTCGCCGTAAACAAGCACCGCCACCGCCCCATTCGCCTCCGCCATCTCAACCACCGCGCTCCTCCCCAAGCCCCCGCCTCTCCTAGCTAACACTATGCACCCGCTAACGTTCACTCCCAACAACCCCAGCGCATGATAGTCCTTCTCCCCGCCGTAGTTCACGAACACCACCCTCGCGAACGCCGAACCGGAAGGCGAGTACGCGTGGTAGGCCGGCACCACACCCGGACCGGCCGGTTCTGTGAGGGGAAGGTCCACGTAGGAGCCGTTGCTAAAATGCGCGGTGATGGAGGAGCGCAGAGGGTAGGAGAGAAGAGTTTTGTAGGTTGCAGTGTGAGCGTGGAGGCCCAGGGAAGTGAAGTGGTTGAGGACGTAGCGGGTGGTGTCGGAAGCGGGTTTTGTTCCGGCGAGGTGAGGGTGCAGGGTGAGGGCGCGGAGGTAGGAGGAGATTGTGGAGTTTGAGGAAGTGGAAAGGAAGAGATTTTGAAAGTGTGAAGCGTTTTGGGAAGTTGATGAAGGTGCAGAAGAGTGAGGGTGATGAAGGACGTAAAAACCCAGAATGCAGAGGATCAGTATCACCACGAACAAGCTTAAAGGTGAGGGCTTTGTAGCGAAAACGGTGGTGGGTTTTGCCATCATTTTCTTATTAGAAGAAAGAGAAGAAGAAACAGAGCAAGCTGTGTTTGATGGAGAAAGAAAGATTGAGTTTTTTTAACTACTTATTACTTGCTTCGAGTGTAACGCTTGTGCGTTTTGCTTTTTTGATAGGGGATATGATTTTAATCTTTTTGAGTAAGAAAAGGTGATGCGTTTCATTATTATTATTATTATTACATATGGGATATTGGGATGGGAAGAGGTGGAGGTTTGAGTCACATTGTGAATCTGTCGCCAGAATAATCCATCTATGTTAGCTATCATTGTCGCAACTCACATGAAAATCTTGGTTTTTTAGGGAGATATCTTTTACGGATACTTAGAATAACCTAAATTTGTGGACATAAATCAACAAAAAAGATATCCCTTGTGACCTTGCTGTAGAAGCAGACGTGAAAACTTTTGCGTTTTTGTTTTTCCTCTTGATTTTTTTATTTATTTATCTGTGTCTGGTATGAAAAAGAATGAGAATCAATGTCGCCTTTCACTTTCATTGCATGATCCATGCCAAAAGTAGAGTGGATGTCCACGCCTTTGTGAGTGGGGAGAGCATTACCTCTTGAGCATCCATTATGTCTCGCCAAGGAAAAAGATATTAAAACATGCAATCATTATAATATGCTTTTCATTGAGCAGAGGAACTTAGGGGGATACACAAGGGCCAAGGTGTTCCCCAAGATTCTCCGCGTCCAAACACAATTCTCCACGTGGGTATTTTAGACTTGCTACGTGCCATATTATTGGTATTATCTTATCCATGTAATGGAATGGGTGATAGAGTAGAGTGGCTTGCAGAATCATAGTATTTTGGTGCCATCTGTTATACCTTCCCCAAAGTCCATGCAATGATGAATATGTACGGTAATGAAACAGTTAAAGAAAAGGACTCACTGGCTTTATACGAGGCCAACCTAAGTAGATAAGATTCAGTTAGGATTATTGAAGTGACACGCTTATCATTATGTCCCAGCAGATGAAATTTCTTCGGTATTGAGTATCGAATTGAGTATTTCCTTTTACTAAAAAAAGGGAAAAAATACATTTTTAACCTATATATTTTTGTATAATTTCTTTTAAGTTCCAAAAACTTTTCCCTTTTAACATAAATATACTTGCACCAAAAATTTTCTGCAGAAGAGTGGCTGAGTGGTTCATCTCTTACCTTCACAGGCAAGCACACAAGACAAGAACGAGGTTGCGGCTGAAAACGGGAAGCAATTTATTGTTGCTGTTCACTGTGTCAGGTCAAGTATTCTTGGTTGTGATATTCTGCGTCAGCTTAAAGTAAGTTTCTTAGCTGATTATGTTAGTCCACTCAAGTCCGTCAAATTTCACACTTCAATTCTCAAGCATATCGTGTCCTTGGACCACAGTCAAGTACTCTTCTGAGAAAAATTGTAACTGATAGGGAATCAAGTTTCACGTACAACTATTTAACTGTTAGACAAGAGCAAACAAACACTGAAGTTTACTCATTGAGGTCCAATCTTACCAAAAAAAGTGCATAACTCCTGTCACAGAGGAACTAACGGATTTAGATCTTGTCTTGTATATAATATTATTCGAGAAAAAAAAAATACACTTTTTAAATTATAACTAATTATAGTATGTCTTAAATGATAAAAATTGTGTTTTTCTCTATCAAACATAATCATATCTTGTAAATCAGGTATAAAAGAGGATCCAAATCCAATACTGTAGTCAGAAGACCTTTGCGGAATCATCACTGAGAAGAAGGCTGATGCTTTTCTTTTCCCCATTTTTTGGATAAAAGAAGCCAATGCATTTAAAATTTTAAGTTAAGGAAGATAGGAGCACTTGCTTAAGCACTCTGAATCATGAAATTAAGCCTGCTTGCATTAACTGTAATGCTGCTTTAAGCTACATAAAAATCACTAATTGAGTTGTATTAAAGCTTCAACTGGGGGGGGGGGGGGGGGGGGGGGGGGAATACAGGTCTAGATACATCAAACTCCAACTATTGTGTTGTAAGTGCCATAAACAGCAAAAAATAATCCACAAAATAATACAATAGAATCTAAGGATTTTTGCCAGATGGGTAGAGAAGAGCCAAATAGTTTTAGGTGAAATGTGGCTGGCAAAACAAATGAGAGCAATGCACATAAGGTACTCCCCACAAATGACGCAAATACACCAAATTCTGGCACGTATGAAGCTAAGACTGCCAGCACAACCACAACAATCGCACGACTGATGTATTTGACAATATTTCCTAGTCCTGTTGAATCATTATTGTTTCTGTGGATGATTTTGAGTTTTCCTTCCACAATCTCATTAATTGGGTGTAACATGATTGGGAATGTGAACACAAGCCCCAGGCACAATCCTACCTGTCATCAAATAAAATGTTAGACGTCAAACTCTCCGGCTGAGATATAAGAAATGCAACAAAAAATTGAAGATAAACAATGAAGTATTACGAACTCTTGGCAAAAGAGATGTAGGTTGACTTTTCATGCACTTTCAGTAATGCTTAAAATTTGAGATGTTAATCTGCAAAGCTGACTATCTTAGACATGTCTAAGGACAAATTACCAATGCACACATGCATATAACATGTGCTACACACAAACACAACAACACATACAAAACTAGATATGCTAGACTGAACAATCACAATTTAAGAACGATGCTCTGATGTAAAACAGGTTACTTGACATGACACCAATTGACATATTCAACACAAAATTAAAAAACCAAGTTTTATAATTACCAAACACCACCAACTTCAAGCGCTACGTGCTTCTAGCCAGTGGTATCCTCAAGTAACACCGATTCAACAAACAGCATGACAAGAGGAATTCAATCAGGTTAGACCAAGCCATGTCAATCCTATGTTTGGCTATTTCAAGGATTTTCGAATGTTGCACTGCCAACAAGACATATTGGAATGGTGGGTGTATGTCATATCCATAGACAAGTCCATGTCACTGATAAGTGCTTTGTATATGAAGAATGATGAGAGTTATAGACCATTTGCTTCCAGACATTTTTTTATTCATCTACTAAATTTGATTAAGTAATCAAAATAATAAGAATAATGTACAGGGATATATTTGGATTATCGGGTATTTTCCATTATAAATCTAAAATCAACTAGTTAAGGAAAAGAAAACACGAGAAAAAAAAAAGCGCATGGTATTGATTAGATAACTGCAAGAAAAACACTACTTAAGAATAACCATGTTAAGCAAAAATAGGAGCAGGACGTAAGAGCTCGAAGAGTAGGCATGTCTTAACTATAATACCTGTACTGCAAGAGATGACCAATTTCTAGGGAGATTGAGGGTCACAATGTCTCTAGTTTCTTCACCAAAAGCCATGTAACCGCATAACCCAAAAAGAATGTACACAAGGGTTATCCCACTAAAAGTCTGAGCCAGCAATATTGGGAATTTAGATCTATCCTGCATAGAATTCTCTAGGGCCAGCGTCATTCCAAACCCCTCAAAACAAAAAACAGCCATGCCTGCTGCAAATGGCAACCCTCCAATATTGGATGTGATTGCTGTCCTTTGTCCAATTGAAAATCCATCCCCTAGGGCCTGTTGTATATCTTCCTTCACAACAATTCCCATAGCTAGGACATTGCACACATCCGCAAAAACGCTAAAAGGTGCTAAAGCTGATAAGCTCCCTATCCATGACAATCCAATTTCAACTGGTACTAAAATAAATATGTAGGAGTTGACTTTGGCTCCATGGCCATCGAATACAGAATCAATGTTTTGTCCAATAAATACCAAATACGCCACAGACCCTGCGCATTGTGCTACCACAATTATAAGTTCTGTCACAAACCGACCTGAGGTTCCAAAGCACCTATAACCCAGGTCTCCATATGTTCTTGCTTCCACTAATGGTTCTTCTGATGCCAACTTATCTCTGCACATAACCTGTATCCATGAAATGAAAATTAAACCTTGTAATGACAAGACGCATCTCCCCATTAAACCTGACTAGCCAGATATTGTTTCCCGAATTCCATAGTTATCAAATGCGGATAGCGGCATGTCGCGGCCAACCCCGAAAAATGCTATAGCGTTATAGCGGAATAGATATATGACAGAAATAATGACAAAAAGAAACATTTTTTAAAGGCAGAGATAGCAAAAGTGACGGAGAGAGACGCGGATAGAATAAAAAACCCTTAAATTTTTTCTGTTACACATTTAAATTTATGACAAAATTGACATTTTGCCTTATGACAGCAATATAGCCGCAAATGCGATCGCAATGGCAGCTATTGCTTTCCGGTGCGGCCCGGCGCGATTTCTTGCGGCGAGGCACTACAACGCCCATACGGCACGGGCTCGCGGCGCAATTAACTAGTATGCCGAATTCGAACTCATAAACTTTAGGAACATAGAATAAAGGCAGGAACCATAAAATAAAATATCTACCAAGTACCATGTAACTTAAATTCAGTTTCTTTTGATTCTATGTAAAATTTATGTGATGATCAATCATGTTCAGAAGAAAAGCAGAGAAAAGAGCGAAGATCACCCACAAGTAGGAGCATGCAATAGTAGGTGGATACGCCAACAACAGCAATCCCAAGTGATCCAGCAACCCAGCCAGCTATCCGAAAAGCAAAGGGCAATCCCAAAATTCCGGTTCCAACAACGGTGACTATGATGTTTCCCAAAGTTTGAAGCTTTGAAGCTCTTTTGGAAGACGGAGATTCCAACAGAGGGGTTGCGATGTTTTTTGTATCATGCTCCATTTTTTTTCTTCTTGATACTTGATCTGCAGTTGGGGTAATCAAATTTCTGGGTTGTTCTGGATTCAAGTAAATTTAGGGTTCACCATCTGTTTCATTTCAGATACACAAGGCATCACATCTCTCAAATCCAGAAACATCTATTTTTGTAGTTGGAAAGTGCCTAAGAAGATTAGATTCGACTAGAATACGCAATCGTTGCAAGGAAAGTGACACTTACCACTATAAGAATCGAAACCGCAGAATTAAGCTGGTGAATGCATCTAGTTCTATTACTTTTTTTTTTTTTTGTAATAATCTAGTTCTATTACTTAGGATCCGCACCAGCGTTTATTTCATGTTACATAGTGCCGACAGCAGGGAAGATAACCCAATTCACGTTTATGGTAGTAAATGACCGATATTTTGAAACATGGAAAACAACTAGAGGTAAAAAAAGACAAAGAACCGCGGGTTTTATTTGACTGTGTTTTGATTTTTTTTATTTTAAAACTGTTTTTTAAATAATTATGGAATATTTTTATGTTTTTTTATTTTAAAAGTTAAAAACTAAAACAGAAAACAAAAACAACTCAGACATGTTCTCTAAATTTGATTCTAAAAACAAAAAAACAGTTACAGTTTTTAAAACTTTTTTAACAAAACAGACCTTATCAAACGAGTTTTTTAATTTTTTTTTGTTCTAAAAACTAAAAAATTGTTTTTGAAAACAGTATTCAAACAGAGCCTAAATATCTATAAACTTAATTTACTAAAAAAAAAAAAATCTATAATTTCAATAGGAAAAAAAAACATAAATACAATGACGAAAATGCTAAGGATATAAAATAAATCCATTTAATATCAATGATAAAAAAAATTGGGAATGAATCTTTCAGTGATTAAATTTTAGATTTGTGCAAATTTTGTATTTATTTCTTTGTAGATATATATATATATAAATGTTGATTTGACCTCATTATTTGATGTTTGTAAAAGGAAATATAAATACAAAATTTACTTATCAAATCATGTAAATTGACACATAAGAATATTTATTCCCTAAAAATTTCACATCACAATCCCATTGAAAATTGTGAAAATCTTAATTTTTTAATTTTAGTAAAAATATCTAAACAAGCATAATAACCTTTTAAAATATTAAGAATTATATCTCAACAAGTGAATATAAAATTTTGATATTTTAATTTTATATGACTTAGCACCCTGATGATAATGACTTAGCTGACAGAACAAGTTGCAACAACATGAGTAGAAATAATAATACGAATAAAACTTGAATATAGAAACAAAATTGGTCTCAATTGTAAAGCTGTCGCTTGAGATGCCAGCCAGTTCACCATCTTACTTATGTCGTTTGTCTACTAAAAGCCTCTTTTGTACAGTGTTTCGTGAATAACTTGCCTATAGTTATATATACATGAGTAGATACTATCTGAGACCGAAGTGCTATGAACAATCACAAGAGCATCCAGAGACCAAGTTTTGCATTTGTACCATGTCTTGGATCGTTTGTGTATATAGTTTCAAAACCTTATAGACTTCTATAACGCCTCGAAGCAATATGGCTGGCAAACACAGTCGATGGCATGGATCAGTTTCCTGCGAGGTCCCACTGCACTAGCGCCCATATCTTTGAGTTTTTTCATGGTTAGATTTACCAGCTGATACTTACTTACACACTTCCCCTGAAAAATTCTCACAAACTGCCCCAGTCCAAGTGATGTTAGCCACTTGCTCAACCCACCAGCTCTTTCAAGCTTTCTCTCAAGATTTGATGCTCTCAGACCTTGACTTAAGGTAGCTAAGTTGGAGAACCTTGGTGCAAGTAATGTTCTGGGCTGCTTTATAGCTTTTGATGTATTAGATACTCCAAGTAAATTATGTGAATTCAAAATACTCACTTGATGTGGATTTTCTGATTCTATTCTTTGATCTACCTGAGGTGGATTGGCTAAAGTTGATTTCGGTGGGGGAGGGGGAGCTCTTCTCGCAGCATGAGCCTCCTTTTGGGCAACCAGTACAATGGTGTTCTCATGTTCATTACCGGAAAGATGTACAGTAGATGTTTCCATGGGAAGTTGCACGTGGTTACTTGCTGTTTCAGGTGGCATACGATGCATGTCACTGGGTCCTTGGTTCACTGTTAAGGGTCTTTCGCTAAGAGGCGCAGCAGGCACCAGAATGGTGACTCTCTGCTTTTTCACTATAATCCAATCACCATCCTGATGCTGATTATCACAGCTTGGAGAATCAATAAGGCAATGTGCAGTACCACTTTTTTTAACAGGAATTTTTCCTGTGCGCCTTTGCTTTGTTTTCACCATTAGCTGAGAGAACCTGCTTGTCATACAGTAGGATATATAGTGTTAAGCCATTAACAACACTCAATATTTCATTCGATCAAAAAGTTACAATAAAAAAATTACTTAAAAGTCATTTGAAGCATATAATACAAAACAGCTCTGTCCCGATGCAAAGTGAACTATAATCCAATTATAGCATTTCATACATGATATATAAGAAACTTGCTTGAGATGAAGGGACCTGGAATTGAGATGAGTGCACATTTTAAGTTGCAAAATTAACTGTGCCCACTCTGGAATTGGAATTAAGATGAAGAGAATAATACCTAGCACATAAGGAGCAGATGCAAATGAAATGCAACAAAATCTTCAGAGATTGACTAGAAAGATTCGTTCTGTATAAAAAAAATTACAAATAAACAAACAAACTGCTTGACATCAAAAAGTTCTTTGATCAACATAGAAACATAAAGTTCCCATAAATTAAGTTTGCAAGCAAAGCACAGAAAATAAAGAAGTAATAAAGTGAGAAACAGACTCATTTCTTGAGTAACAGTAGATACATAGGCAACTATTAAGCAGATGAAAGATTTTGAGGATAAACTTAATAAACAAGTGATGGCAGGAAAATATCTTTATCCTTGACAGCAATTTCTGCAAAATCTAGAGGTGGAATATTACACAACAGGGACTAACTAAAAAAACAAGTGCTAACCCCCAAGGGTAGCTCAGTTGGCAGCTGAGCTCCGAAGGGATTGCTTGGCGCAGGGATCAAACCCTGCCTCAAGCAGTTTCTTGGAAAATCTTTGGGGGCCAGAGGATAAGCCAAAAATCTTTGGTTGGGGGATTAGTCTCGTCCTTTCTCCGGTTGCGAAGCTTAGTGCACCCACTGTTACAATGAGGGGCTAGCCCAAACGGGCCGTACCCCGAGGGCATGGTGCCCGGAGAAGGTTGAATGGGGATACCTCCTGGCAATGTACCAAAAAAAAAAAAAACAAGTGCTGATTTGAGCTATAACTTTTGATACAACGGTCCTTCTAAAAAGTAACATGAATACTAATAGATCAAAAGAAAAAACAGTTATGCATTTTTCAAGACGTCAAACTAGATGCTATGTGCATGTCAAGCTTAGATCTCTATTTTTTGTCCAATTTTCTGGGCATTTTACAATATTCTAGCACTTGGTGTAATAACTAACATAAAAGTGTAAAAAAATTCAAATTTAGAACTCAAATTTTGCATTAATAATAAAAAATCCCATCTAATCTAACTAATAAGTTACCACAGTTTGAGGGAGAAAATAACAAATATCTTCGAAGGGGCAAAAAGACAAGGTTATCCCTGCAATGTACAACACCTCTTCTTCCCGACACAATCAAAACTTCCAAGTTCCAAGTCGTTAAAACCAGGGAATCCTTACTTGCCTAGTTGCCGCTATCAAACACCACAAAAATTCTAACAACAGAATGTACACAAAAGATTTGACTAGGATTGATAACTAATGTTTAAAGAAACGTAAAGAAGGAAGGGAAAAAGTCTAGATCGATTCTTCTCTAATGAATAACAACTGAAAGCAATAACATGGCAGAGAGAGAAACGGAGATGAATACAGACAAGCAAAAGAATTGTATTGAAGTAAAATACAATTGTATCACAGACTAAAAATCCTCTGGCTTTCAAAAGAATCAAAACCATTGCAGTCAAATCCAAATATCCAGATACTTTCAAAATAAAATGAACCCCCCACAAAAAAAATCCGAAAATTGATCAAATTTAGAGAAAGGAGGGTAAAGTAAAAGACCTAGCTCCGGATCGAAAGACAAGTTTTCTCTTTGAATGAAAATTGAGCAAAGATCTCTTCTCTTTTCTTATCAACTTGTAAATTTGCGTGGTGTTCTAATTCCTCGCTTCAAATCTCGGCAAATTAGGTACGGCTCGCACGCGGACAGATGTGCATCTTTGTGGAAGGAAATTAGGGTTTATCTTAGAATGAGAGAAAACAAACCAATTATCATTTTAATTTTTTTTATTAGAAGTTAAATTATTATTATTTTTATTTAAACTTATGACCTGATATAAATTACCAAGTTAAATTATTAAATAATATTTTATTATGCCAAAGAGTTTTCATGTTGTACTTTCGTATATGAAAGGAAGTATGGACCCGGGAATCTCATTGTCCTTTTACATTTCTTGCTTTACAGGAAGGATTCACGAATAATTAGAAAGAAAAAAAATAGAAATACAATCCATCTTTGTCGTATATACGTAGAAAAATAAATTATTTCATGTTAAACGAGATAAATATAATCTTATACTTATTCTTCAAATTCTTTTGTTTTGACCTATTTATATAGAGATAAGTATGGTAATATGCCCATTAGGTGCCTTGCCCAACTAAACTGAAAACTCTTGGGCCTCTGTCCTTCTACCTAATCAATCTTATAAACTACCCTGCCACCCAGTAACTACATGATTGACTTCGTGGTTTCCAATGATGGCAATGAATTAATGACAATAGGACATCATTGACGCTATCTGCTAGCCTTTGACTCTTCATAATTTCTACGTGCCGTGTTCGATACTCACTGACATTTTCTGACACTCTAATATTCGTTGTAAAAATTTAAAGATTATATTGTGTTGCATTTTGAGTTTCAACTATTAGATTTGTTGAATCATGATTACTATTTCATTGAGTTTAATATAAACATTTGAAATATTTTATGTTTCTTTGCAAAATTGATGAGTATTATAAGTTTAGCTTTATTTTTTTGTTAAATTATTGAATATTAAATATAATATATACTACATAAATTAAAAATATTATATAATCAAAATTTAACATTTTTTAAAATTAACGTGTCGGAATATCGTGTCTTATCGTATCTCGTGTCAATATAATATACGTGCTAGCTACTCCACAAGGCAACAAACTTGTTACTCTCCAAAATGGACATATCCACAATTTTCAAAACATGACAACCATCGCTCCATATAGTAATTTCTCATGCGACCCAAAAAAAACCCTACCATGTGAAAGCCATTAGATAGAAAGTTTTTTTTTTTTTTTATGTGTTAATCTACGAGAGAGTAATATTTATCATTGATAATAAATTATTGTAAAAGAAAATTTGTGTAGGATGGATGGGACTGAGACTTTCCGAATACTAAACAACATATATTGTTTTAAATATTAAATAAATTTTTGGTACATCAGATATATTTAATTGAGTATAATTTTATTTCATATTTGAAAAAAAATTCATTATTTTTTTAAAAAAAATTTCCCGTCATTCAATTTTGTTCTTAAATATGGGCTTTGTGTTTCTGCTAAGGAGAGACAAAAATTTCATGCAACAGATTTTCAAGTGAGCTCGTTGTTTAAAAAAAAAAATCTGGCACGAAAATTAATGTATGGATATAGGATAAAGTATTTCCCCTTTAAAGATTGGGATTGTCATTGTCATTTTACAAGATGAGATAAGAGAGTTCTGCAATGGGTCCACGTTATTTTTTATTTTCCTCTCTTCAATGCACAGTAATTTTTCTGTAAAATAATAAATATAAAACTCTTAAATATTAAGGTTATGAAAGTTTTTATAATACATTGATGGATATAATATTCAAGATAAATCATCAAACATTTATCAAACGACTTAATTTCTCTTTATCTTATAAGAATGAAAATTATTTCTATTTTTTCAATAAATTATGTTCTCTATCACTATTTTTAAAAAGAAATAATTTTTTTTTATTTTTATGCCTTGAAATAATTTTTCAAAAAAAAATATATATTTGATAACATATTCTATATAAAGTTAACATAAGTCTTTTTTTTTTTTTTACGTGAGTCCCACATAATAATTTTATATCTAAACATCAAACCTTTTATTAAATACCACTTTCATGGTAAGCATTTAAAGTTTTATCAAAAACAATTGTCAGTAGGAGAGGTAGGTTTAAAGCTTTAATCCTAGACCCGCTCCGAATCGGACTAATCGCTTAGCGATGAACCGATTAAATATTTTAAAAAAAAAAAAAAAAAAAAACAATTGCCAGTAAATAAAATTCTTGACATGTAGCATTTTAATTTTTTGTCGTTGACTATATTACTACCTTCCAAAATAGTACACACAGCATAGCAGATAGCACCATTTGGTTCCTCCATCTTCGTCTTCAGCTGAATCAGCTGCTGAATCCCTTCTTTTTTATCATCATGTCAAATTTCTCGTCGTGGTTTTCTCGCTTGCGTTCTTCGTCCAAGTACTTGTACCGAACTCTCCACTCACCTCACAAAAACGCACTTGCTACCAATGTATTCAGCTCCCACAGAACAAGGAAGCCATGGATGACATGGTCAAGCTCTGTGCTTCCTCTGGCTCTCGCTGTTTCTGCTGGATCACTTTCTCTTCAACCCCATTTCAACCCTTCCTTGTGTGACGCTTCTGATATTGACAACAGGTTACTTTTCATTCTTACACCACCCCATCATTTTCTTATGTCAAATTTTCTCCCTTTTGATAGCTTAAATTGAATTTCTCAATTCTTTGCTATTAATTATGATGTAAAAAAAACTAAATATTTCACTTGAACTAGGAGTCTAAGTAACTGAATAGTGTCAAGAAATAAAGTGATTGTTTGATAAATGACATGCAATTTCTTATGATGGATGTTAGAGGTGTGAGCTTTGGGGGCAAAGGTAGCACCCAGTATGTTGTTAAGGGTTCACAGAAAGATTTTCCACAGGAGCTTCTCAAGGAGTTGGAAATCATCTGTCAGGTACAAAATCTCAGCTTTTCTGAATATCTCATAAATTTGAATCAAACAAAAAGTAAAGACATAGAATTGCTTGGGCTAACCCCGAGGGGTGGCACATCTGGTAATTGGAACTAGGCCTGAAAGGTCTCTTGATCGATTCTTAAGCGAAACAAATTGGGACAGTGGCAAAACGATTGTGCTCTACGCCACAAAAGGGGATTAGTCTTACACAAATGGATGGGGATACACATGGGAAACTAGAAAAAGGCTGATTCTAATTTTTTCATCAATTATATTTGAAGATTTCTTTTACTTCTTGCTATTTCTTGTTGTGCAGATTGGTTATTATCTCGTTTGTCAACTTTGGTCTGTGGTTTTTAGAAAGCAAGCCAATCTGACTTATTAGTTGGTTGATTGTTAATGTTCAAGAATATTTTTTTTAGTAAAATAAGAATGAAGACAAATAAATGAGCAATCGTTTTGAACCTTCAAACTTGTGATTATCATCCTGAATTTTTATAGTACTTAAGGGTCCATTCGTTTGTGCTTTTTTAATTAAAACATGTCTAAAATTATTTAAGATAATTAGATAAGTTTTTCTAAACAAGCAAAAGCCCAATAATTTTTTATTTTTTTGTAGTGCTCTTCTCATAAGCTAGAAAGAGTAGCTTTTGAATATATTTTTTTTATAAAAACATCTATATCATTACAGCATTTTTTCCCCAAAGCTTATCCATACGCACCCCTATTTCTACAGGATAACATATCACTTGATTATGATGAGAGATATATCCATGGAAAACCACAGAACAGCTTTCACAAGGCTGTCAATATCCCAGATGTTATTGTTTATCCAAGGTGAGACAAGCTCTGAACCTTATGCTGAAATTTCTGTTTGCTTCATTATTGATCTGCTCATAGTTCTTTCAGTGTGCAGTGATTTAGTGTAATCCTTTTAGATTTTACCTTCATCTCAAATTGGTTTTTGTATTGAGTAAAACCAGGGAAGTTTCTACAGAAGCGTTTTTCCAAATGATCTTCTTTCGAAAGGCTTAAATATGTTTTACTCTCTTTCCACTGTAGTTTTCAAAATAAGACTATTAAAAATGCTTGCTGCTAAGCTATGTGGACAATATTTTATTTGTTTTTATCTTGTGGACTTGTAATGTTGTGACAGGCTGACAGTTATAGTTAATATGGTAGCAGAATGGTTATAGTGGTAAGGTGGTCATCAGAGCAATTTGGTGTAGTGAAATTTTGTTAGTGACCAATATTCTGAATATCACTTTGTTGTATCACATGCTCCAGTAGAGTATTGCTTTGGTCTTGTGGTATTTATATTTACCTTATGTAACAAGTATTTCTTCTATGTTTGACCTGATTGCTGTTTGATAACAGACAAATCTGATATAATGTTTGATTTATTTGTTAAAATAAATTTCTAGAAATCATTGGTTAATCTGTATGCTTGCAGATCATAAATTGATTCATCTCCCATCATGTCTCTAAATCCTGTAGAGCTATATATTCATATTTCGATATGTTTGGTGTTTTTGCAACCACATGCTTTAATATCTAATTTTATTTAAAGAGATTCAATGGCTTCTGTTATGTGCATTGGAATATCCAAAGTCATGCGGGGGCAGAAATGCTTATGTGAGATTTATGACTTTCTGACATTTCCTACTGTTGATTCCAAAATATGCATATACCTTGTCTGCCATTTTTGACTTACAGATATATATAGAAAAAACACCATATTTTTTTATATCGTGTCTAGAATGGACATGAATGAACATAGGAAAGTAGGAGAGGGTTTCAAAATATTGCAGGTATATTCTTGTGGTAAAAGTTAAAGCATCCACATGTATCTATTATCTTGAATTGTACTCTCATTTGCAGATCTGAGGAAGAGGTCTCCAAGATTGTCAAATTATGCAACGATCATAAGGTTTGAGTTCCTCCAGCTCAACTAACATTGCTGAGCATACTTGAGCTGATTGCTTTACCTTAACTTTTATTATAAAACCATTTGGATAAAACCAAATTTTTTATCCTCCATATGTCTCCTGTAACGTTGTGCTTTTCAGCACAGTATATGTGTTGTTTTTCCCTTTTTAAAACACTCTATTTCTGCTGTTTCTTTCATATTTGAGTTGTTCTGTTTTTGGAATTTATACCTCACTTCTTCATCCTTAACTAAAATTACCCAGTTTGCTTGCTTTGTCTAGTTCTCAATTGAGACTTGAGACTTCCTTCCTTCATCAAATATTATAATTTTCTTTCACTTCGTATTCAATTATCAATTTATCATCTTTATCTCTGTTGCAATCATAATATATCTAATCATTTCATTATAGCCCAACAATCTTCCTAAAGCAGTATTGTTAAGTCAGAGACTATTTGAACTTAGATTAAAGAGATCTAAAATCCACACCTTGGCCCTTCCATAACAATTTAAATCTTTGAATCAAGTACTTATTTGGCATGCTATCAGAGTATCCTTTATTGCAGAGTTTAATCTTTATGACTCTTATTAAAGGGGCAAAAGGCAAATCCCGGTGCATAAGGCTCCCCGACTTGTGAGGATAGCGGCGAGGGTCGACTATATGTAGTCTTACCTTATATTTTTGCAAAGAGACTGTAATACTTTATGACTCTTATTCTTATACATAATTAGATTTTGGCTTAATATGGTGTTTTTGTAATACATTAAGTGCTATGATTTTTACACATGCAAATGTTAGAGTATGAGAAGGTAACTTTCAATCAGAAATTTACTTGGAATAAAGGCAATGTGAATCTTGAATGTAAGTTTATCCTAATTATACTATTATGGGCTATCACATGATTCATGGGTTTACAGTATGATCGATCATATCTGCTTTACTTTTATGATATCTATATGGGGAAAATTACATCTCATACGCTTTTCAGCTTTTAAAAGCCTTTTTCTTTCAATTTCACAGGTGGACGATTTTCCTGATGATTGTATTCCTGAGAAACTGTTAACTTCGGTTTACTTTTTATTTATGCTTATTTATTTAGGTTCCTATTGTACCGTATGGTGGAGCTACATCAATTGAGGGTCACACCTTATCCCCTAATGGAGGGCTTTGCATTGACATGTCATTAATGAAAGTATGTACATCTTCTATTATGATAGTGGAATATCTGTATATAATTGTTTCAAGTAGAGTCATTATATATCTATTTGATTCCAATAGAAAGAGATGTAAGGCCTATTTGGCCCCATGTCTACTCAGGAATTGCTGAACGTACTTGTCTTGGTATGTTCCAGAATAAATCAGGCAAGGTAGGCTGGTTGAAAGCTTAAGATGCCTTTATTACTCTGGAATGTGTCTTTAAACCAAAGTTTTCCTTTTCCTGTTTTCCCTTTTCAATTTTTTCCGTAAGCTGTTCTTGGAGGAAATCTTATCCTTCTTTGTTCTCAATCTTCACATAAAATCCTACCTCTCCTGCCAAAAAATAAAATGTCTTTTATTGGTATTGAGCATGTTTCTGATGCTAAATGTAAGCATTTGCCTTACTGCAGTCCTTAAGGGAATAAAATATAAAAGTGAAAACACAAAGATGATATTTGGTATTGGAAAATTATGTTAGGAACTACAGGAACTATACATTTCTTGATGATTAATGCAGCTTCTACCGCAGTATCATTAGAGTAATCTGGTTTATCAGTGCATGTCCCATTATGTAGACAGTACATATGCTTAGATATATTTAAACAAGCTGACAATATATCACATGTGCATATAGGTACAGATTGGACATAAAAGATTAACCTTACTTTAGCTTTTATACTTACATTGCCTGCTGGTTCTTTCAATCTGTAGAAAGTGAAAGCATTGCATGTTCATGACATGGATGTGGTTGTTGAGCCTGGAATTGGATGGATGGAGCTTAATGAGTATTTGGAACCTTATGGCCTATTTTTTCCACTTGATCCAGGTTAGTTGGATACTGGGAATATCTTTGATAGTTGAAGGACAAGAAAGGCAAAAAATCTGGAAGAAAACATTGATTTTTACATGCATTTTTCCTGATTAGTGAAGTTTTTACGTGTTACGAGCAGGTCCTGGTGCAAGCATCGGAGGCATGTGTGCTACACGCTGCTCTGGTTCATTAGCTGTGAGGTGATCACTCACTCTTCTGTTCATCTATTGTTGGTTCAAATATTTCATCTCTGGGTGTTAAACTGTCAGTGCTTACAAGGTCAAATATTTGGTTCCAAGCTATTTTGCTTGAGGCTCTTATTAGTTCAATTAAGATTACTAAACTCGATGCTGATGTAATTCTATCACTCAAAATGTCTGAATCTTGTAAATAAAAACCTGTTAAAAAAATTTCAAAGCTGTTCCATCCTACTAGGCATAATGATTCCCCTTACTAATTTGTAGGTATGGAACTATGCGTGATAATGTCATCAGTCTCAAGGTTTGTTAATTCAGTTTTGTTTTGGTCTCTAATGCATTGTTGTGATGATTTATCTACTGTCCTGATTGTGTTGCAGGCAGTTCTTGCCAATGGAGATATTGTGAAGACTGCCTCTCGTGCTAGGAAGAGTGCTGCAGGGTTTGTTATTTTCCTGTCCCTTTATCTGTTAATCAATTTCATTTCTTCTCCCTTCCATTAACTTTTTGAGAGGTCAAGCAAAAGTAATATTATAAGTAAACTAGGAAGGCAAAAAATATGGTAAATTTAATCCAAAATACTAGAAAATACCTGAGACACTTCTCTACTTCATCCATCCTGCTTGGATATGATGTTTGACATCATTAACAAGGCCTCCATGTTTTAGGATGACCTGTAGTATTTGAAGCTCTTAGTTTTGGGTACTTCTACATCTGCAGTTCTTACTATGTATTGTCCACTCTTGTTTGTTGGCTGAACTTAAAATCAATCTATTTTGTATTTGATCTACTCAATCGAAATCCTTTGGTCTCTAATGGTTCCTGGTATTCGCACCGGCATAGTATAAAAAAGTATAGAGCAAAGTTCCAATTACAGTAATGTAGGCAGAGAAAAAAATATTAAGAGGTAAGATTGGAAGGAAAGACAAGAAAAATGCTACTCAGCCCAAGGCCTAAGCCTCCCTAAATTCCCTTCACAGATTCCCTAGTTCCTTCTGTTCCTGACATGCCAGAGAGTAGTTTTTTTTTATACATTGGTGGGAATTGAACACACAACTTAATATAACCTATCCAAACCCCTCGATATTAGACCAAACCTAGTGGCTTACAGGCCAGAGAGTAGTTAGTTAGAGTGTTAGGGGGTAAAGTTGTAAAGGTGGGGAGTTAGCTTAAATAGGAGGAGAGGGTAGAAGAATTCTAATTGTTTATCATTTTGGACATTGAGCATTTACTCTGTTGTAGAAAGGGGAAACCCTAGAAGGAGAATTCTCCTTTGTTGTGTAAAGATTCAGCTATCAATAATAGTCTCTATTCATCTTTCTCTCTTCCATACTATCTGCAGGCTCTCTCATTTGTGGGTTCCTAACACTTCCCCTCCCTCCATCGTATTCACAGCTCTTCCTTTGTTTCCCACGCCCCTTCTCCAATGTCCTGCTGCCACCTGTCATTTGTTAGACCCCTTCCTCTCTTCTCTAACAGACTTCTACAACACATTTGCATTACGGCCTCTTCCTTCCATGCTTCTCTTCTTTTTCTGGTAAACACAAATTGGAGGCCCATTAGGTTCAGCAGCAATCAGATGCCCAACAATATCCAAAACATTTACCCGCAACTCCAACTTAGCCCCCACTCTCTAAAATAATATTATCAACATCTACATAAAAAAGTTATCATCAGCAAGACGCATGCACCAAGGCACTTCATATTGAATATGCCTAGTAAGTTTGTCCATTAGGGATAAAAGGTATGTAGGCTTTAATGTTAAACCTTGTGTTGCGCTCACGGCAAGTGCACCGGTCGTACAAGTAATATAATATTGAATAAGAGATCATTTCCACGAAAATTATAAATCAAGCACTAATTCACTACTTCAACTTAAGTTGGACAATCGAAATTTGATTTGTAACAGGATTTGAATTGAAATTTAAATATTAAAACTAATTAAAAACAAGAATAAAAAAAAAAAGCATTTAAAGATTTGAATTAACTGATAGAAACGAATGTAGCTAGGGTTTTGATTTCCTTCAATCTCTCTATTATGTTTGAGTTCCTTCTTTAAGTTAATCATCCTTAATATCAATCCAATCAATTCTTTCTAAGTTAATTAGGATTCAATCCCTTGACACCCCAAGTCTTCACAATCTTGCTAGAACCCTAGTTCCCCAAGAAAGTAAGCATTAAGTTCAAGAATCATGAAATTGCGCAAAACCCTATGTCTATCCTTAGAATCATAAGGATTACGATGAAATTGTCAGATACAGATCATGCACCAACATTCCTATTCTCATACAATTACCTAGGATCAATCTACAAGATTCAAACTCATAGAAGGCATTAATAAAAGACAATTTCATTTATGATAAAAAGGAAAATTAACATCAAGAATTATTCAAACATAAAAGATAAATTGAATTCCATCTAACCCTAACTACTATGAAAACTTAGCCGGACATAGCGAAATCAAGAAAATAGAAAAGCTTCCCCAAACTCCATAGTTGAATGATGAATCTTCAATATTTTCGGTGCAAACTCGATTCTGATCCGTCTCCGCCTCTCACGAACATGAACTGGTGTTTCTCTGCGTTCCCTCTGCCTCTGGTTACCAAGAATGATCAAGAATCCCAAAAAGTGTGTAATTTTGCCCCAAATTGTGTTTTTTAAGAGTATAGAATCCGTGCCCTAAGTGGGTATTTCAAGTGGGCCTAAGTTAGGTTTTTGAGGCGCTTAAGCCCCCATTTGGGCTCTTAAGCCTCCAATATTATGTATGCATTTTTCACGTGGCGTGCTTAAGCATGCTGATGGGCGCTTAAGCGCGCACTTTGAATCAGAAGTTTTCTCTTGTAATGCACTTAACCCTGAGTTGGGGGCTTAAGCGCTCTCAGGCAGTGGCTATTTGCAAATTTGGAGTATTTGGGGGCTTAAGCCCCAGATCCTCCTCTTCAAGAATGTGATTTTCTTCATTTTTCTTCACTTGAGGTCCTCAATCTTCAAGTTCTTGACCTTTAAATCTCCAAGCTTCATATTTGCATCCATTTATCGTCAATTTCCTTCAAAATAGACAAATATAAATTAATTCAGTCATAATTCACAAAGTTCATATTTTTATGTTAATAAACCCTAGTTTCCACTTAATTAACTTGATTTTGCATGTAATTTTAGTCTATAAAACTAGATAAACTAAAGGTTTATCACCTTGATATAAACCTACTTGTCTTGGAAAACTCTTCACTTGCACCACCCGGTGTCCAAACATTTGTCACTGCTTCATCATACATATCCTTGGTTGCTTGAATGCATGATACTCAACTCCCTTAGATTATAAAACACTACAGAGAATCCCGCTTGAGACAGATATTTAATGACATGCTGTTGATTTTTTTCTTCAAATTATATATTCTAGGTATGATCTGACCCGCTTGATGATTGGAAGTGAAGGAACACTTGGTGTTATAACAGAAGTGACACTGCGGCTTCAGAAAATTCCCCAGTATTCAGTGGTACAATGATTCTCTGTTTTCTTTTTAGGATTTATGCTTTTCTCCAAGTTTGGTCTGATCCACTGAACTTTGTCATTACAATCAATTTATTAAATCTATTATGTTATATTCTCTTGTTATTCAATTTGATTGAAACTCCTTAAAATGTTTCTTGTTGGTTCTTATCTTTGACATATGTCAATGCAAGCTGTATCATCCAAATTCTAAACTTGGATTGCAAGGTCACTTGTTTCTGGTTTCTATCCTGGAATTTTTTTAATTTAAAACAGCAGTTCATGATGATCAGCGCAGCATGCAATATTTGGATGTTACTATTTTGTTTATACGCTCTAAGGATATACTTAACATTGCTCTATTCCCTTACTACTGCCTTACAATTCTTCTTCCTCTCATCAAATTTTCATATTATCTTCATGTTACGTGGGCAATCCCAGCTTGGAAAAGTACCTTGTATCCACCCTTCCGCTATATCTGAAGTTGTATTAAACTATTTACCTAGAAACTTAATTTATTCATCTTGTTATTCTGCTAAATTTAGTTTTTAAGTTTCTAAGAATGGGTTAATTTTCCATATCAATTTGATTTAATGGGAAAGCTTTGCAGTTTATCCATTCATACAATGTAGATAAATTTACATTTTCTCACTTAATAACTTGTGCTTGCCTGTAGTATTTCATAAAATTTTGGAGTTAGCAAGTGGAGACAAAGTCTGTTTGTTTTGGCGGTCATGCAATATCATCATAAGCAAAATAAATAATTAAAAGCTTCTGAACTACAGTTCTCAAACTTCACCGTCAGTTAGCTTTTATTTAGTTGGTGGAATATTTCTCGAGATATTTTATTACATCTTTATTCTGCAAAACTACTTTCTTGAGATATTTCTCTGTGTTAGTGTGAGTTATTTTGGAATCATACCGATTACCTAACTAATCAAAGCACAGGTTGCAATGTGCAATTTCCCTTCTGTGAAGGATGCAGCAGATGTTGCTATTGCCACTATGATGTCTGGTATACAGGTAGGACTCTAGCTTCAAATATTGATATCTTTCTCTATCCAGTTATGATGTTTCTGTTTATACTGTTTAGGTATCCAGGGTAGAGCTATTGGATGAAGTTCAAGTGAAAGCTATCAATATTGCTAATGGGAAGAATTTGCCTGAATGTCCAACTTTAATGTTTGAATTTATAGGAACAGGTAAAGATAGATATATAAAATTTGTCTTATTTTATTTATTAATCATTATTTCCCACATACATATATGTATTGCTCCCATGGATCATGAAATCAGAGAAAATTCATTTCAGTGAGCTCAATCTTTGGAGATAACAAAGATAACTCAGGGTAGAACATGAAAATAAGAGTTGTTCCATTGGACAATCACTTTATTGGATGCTGAGTGAATTTGTAGGGTTCCAAAAGAAAGGAAAAATAGAGGGAAATGAATGTAGATATAGAGTAGGAGAAAATGAAATCAGAATGTATTGATCTGAAGTGACAAACAGGGAGAGATAAGTGTTTCCCCGTTACTACCGAGCTACAACTCTGTTCCCTGATCTTCCAAAAATAAACCAATGCTCTCCAATCAGAGTGTTCCCTATTTGACCACCTAACTGACAGTGTATCAGCCTAACTAACTAACTACTCCATCACTTAACTCCTTTAATTCCTACATGTGTACACCTTCCAAGTCCTGACCTCCCTTGGTTGGGTCATAACAGAATCTATCAACTATTATCTGAAAAGATTGTTCTTGGGCCAATATAAGCTTCTCATGCAAGAAACATTCAAAATCTCAAATTGATATTAGTTATGGATAAAAAAGAAGAATAGAATATATCAAAAACAAAATAGTTGAAGGAAGAGAACATGAAATACTGGGACTAACAAGATCTTATGAGTCCTTTTTCCCTCGTAATTCTATGATATAAATGGGAAAATGGAGGAAAAGCAACAAGCATTCATTCAAATTTTTCCTGCCATATTCTGCTCTACGGCTGTAATTTTTTAATTGTCACTTGGATATATTAAAGTACCACACATCACTGGATGTTTTAAGTTTTTGGGTGAAAGAACATGAATGGTTTTATATTTAATATGCTTCTCATGTAACAGCCCTTTTGGCTTAAAGCATGGACAATACACAAGCTTACCCTACCTTGTACTGAAATTCAACTTTTATTTAGAATTATGGGGCAAACAAGGATTGAACTCTATATCACATAGTCATACTCTAATAATATCATGTCATGAACCAACTTTTTCAAAAGTTTAAGTTGTTGGGTGAAAATACGTGAATGATTTTATATTTAACATATGATAGCACTGCAAATCACATTCTTCAAATGAATGAAAGAAATCAGAATCTACTTGGAAGATTTGGTAATGTTAGAATCCACTTGGAAGGTAGGGGACTTGAGTTCCACACCTGAAGTATGACGCTCAGATATGGGGTTTATATGGCTTTGGGCTCTTCCACCCCAACGATTTTTGTGTTGTGATTCTCCCAAGGCTCGTACCAAGGTAATCAGTTACATACCTGGAAGGATATAGTGAAAATGTTAATGGAAAAATGTGCAGAGAGCGAATGAGGGACACCAAGCAGATCTTATTGCATGGTTTAATTTACTAATTATGTCATGGTATAAAAAAGAAAAAAAGAAAAAAATGTCAATGGAATAGGCTACCTACAGTATTCACGTCATAATATATAAGGCAGTGTCCTTTTAATGAATGCACCACATATTCCAAAATTCTTGTAATACATAGCTCACGCACATATATTCTTCAGAGGCATATGCACGTGAACAAACACAAATTGTTCGGAGACTTGTTTCTGAGCACAATGGCTCGGATTTTGTATTTGCTGAAGAACCTGAAGCAAAAGAAGAACTTTGGAAGGTAGTAGTTTGTTCCTTTATTATGGTTAGCATTCTGTTTTTTCTTTCTTTCTTCCTCCCCTGATATACTTCCCATCCATCTGCAATTTACTTCATCCAAGAGACATCCATCCATAACAAGATTAGGATTTTGGATGGCATATTTTCAAGTTACTCTGTTACCACCCCAATTTGTAGTTTCCATTCTGTTTTGTTCGGTGAGACATGTTATAAGTAACCTCATTGTTAAATAGTCAATATTACTATTTATTTCTACATTTAGGTCAATATCATGTTCGTGTGCAGGTAAGGAAGGAGGCACTCTGGGCTTGCTTTGCAATGGAGCCTGATTTGGAGGCAATGATTTCAGTGAGTCAGTTATGAAATATATTTTAATTTCTACGTTGTTGAGTTACATCTTTAGTTGAGAGGAAACAGCTAAAGAATTTCATCTAATCCTCAAAGAAAATGTATTTTGATCTGATTAAATTTGAAGATTTCCATATCAAAGCATGTCGATTTGGTTTTGAGAGTGCATGTGCTTGCTGTAGATAGGCAAACAGATTGAGAAGAATGGTTTGTTTTCTTTCTTAAAACAGGTTAAGATAAAGAGAAAACGAGAGACGTGTGATGAAATCATGTATTTGAATTAAACAGCTGGGGCTATGTCATATAGAGTTAATGTAATAATTACGAAGAATCGCAAATGTCCTAGACCTAGTTACCATAATTACAAGATTTGGTTGGCCTAGTCTCTCTAAACATCTGCTCATTAGCCCCTAATATCAAAAGAATAGAAAGCCTGTGAAGACTTGAAAGAGAAGCATTTGAAGCAACAATTTTTTGTTTTCCCTCACATTTAAAAGTATACAGACTTGCTGAAATTTTTCCAAATGAGAAGAGTTCCAACTGTTCTTGACTTCATACAGTGTTTTTAACTTTTTTTTGGTATTTTAACTTCTGCAGGATGTATGTGTTCCTTTATCTCATCTTGCCAATATAATTTCAAGGTCTAAAAAGGAGCTGGATGCATCACCACTTGTTTGGTATGTTGATCAGGGTTATTTGATTCTGGATATTGAAGTTAGATGAAATTGTGTTATAATTCATGTTACTTGACGATGATGGATGATAAAACAGACTAATGTTCAATGCTACTAATTGTTGTTTCTCTTGCCAGCACAGTACTTGCCCATGCTGGTGATGGTAATTTCCACACGGTAATTCTATTTGATCCTACCCAAGAAGAACAGCGGCAGGAGGCAGAGAGACTCAACCAATTTATGGTTCATGCCGCCTTGTCATTGGAAGGTATTAATAATAAATTTTTGACACATGCTGTTGCCTTTTAATGTAATATTTCAGGTGTCTTTTAGCATTCAGTATTTTTCTTCTCTAAATCCTTCATGATGACTTTGGTAAAGCAGTTACAGTTTTGAAAATTGGTTTATGTTGCTTCCAAACAGGTACTTGTACTGGTGAACATGGTGTTGGTACTGGAAAAATGAAGGTACTGCACTAGTATCTGGGATTCTTTAAAGCTTTACACATGATGTTAGTTACTCATGAAATTTCCCGACGTTGTAAACAAATCCTAAAAACTTTGGACATGGTATGGTGTCTAAATGTCTATTAGCTTCAGAAACACAAGCCTTCAAAGTAATCTGGCTGCCCAGTGGCAGCAGAATGCCTTGCATGAATAGACACGAACAAGACACAAGCCATTCCTATGTTACATGATTGGTTGTTATTATGAATCATAGTTTACATGCAAAGATTGGCAAGAGACAATCATGTTTTGATGCTTCTTGGTTGTTTTAGATGGTATTTTATTTTCAAATATGTTATGCCTTATTTTAGAATTGAGTTTAGCTCTAAAGTAATCCCTGGTTGCTTTTTCCAGTATCTTGAAGAAGAACTCGGAGAGGAAGCATTGAGGACAATGAAAAAAATAAAAGTAGCCTTAGATCCCAACAATATCATGAATCCAGGAAAGCTCATCCCTCCCCATGTTTGTTTGTAGTAGTACCCTCACTCCTAGAGGCAACTGTGCAATACAACAGTCATGAATAACCATGGTCTCCTCAAATTTAGAATCAACAGGTTGCATTTTCTAATATCAGGCCATGTCTGTAGAATCCGTTTTTTACTATACAAGGACATAAGCACCCTGTGATTTGTTCATTGATATATGCTTCAGGCCATTTCAGGGTTTCTGGCCTCTCCTATGTCTCACAAAATCTATGAGAAGCTAAATAATTCCCTCTTCTCAATTTCAGATCATATTAAGATATAACGCATGCTCATATATCACAAATTTTCATGTAATCGTTATTCCCCTTTTCATTCACATTATTTCCATTTTTGATAATATTACTCTGCTTAGGACAAGTCAACAAATTAAGATCTTTTCAATTATAAGTCTTATAACTTTTGATTTAATATATAATTTAGTCTCGAAAAAATATTATTCATGTTCCTTTAATTCTAAAAAGTTTCTATTTATAAAGTTTGTTTTCGAAGTTGTGAATATATTAAGTTCATTATTTTGGGAACTAATTTATATTAATATCTTTCAACATTAAGTTTTATATTTTACTCTTTGTTTTTTCTTATAGTTTGAATATGATTGAGAAAGAAAAAAAACAGTGAGGTTCTTTAATAAGTATTGTGCTTACAAGTTACAATTACACACTGAGGCTTAGGTGAAGTTAAATGATTTATGTATGTTTAATTAATTTTTATTTTTTTATGAAACTCATGAGAACAGGCATGAACTAATAGTTGGCAAGTGGCGCTTTCAAAATATAAATTAATCTTTTGCTTTCTCACCACGGATACGACAAGGTATATTATTTGAAGTTACACTATTTGCATTTATACATTTGGACAAATTTGGGTTTGTTGCACCCTACACAATTGATGTGCAATTGTAAGAAGATGACGAACTAGAACCACAAATTGGTTCAGAGGTACCATTAAGTACGTGAATCAACTTGTATAGAGTTGTTTCAATCTAACTAATAGTCTTGAGTTCAAAATCTGAATATGCAAATATATTAAAAACTTGATAATTAGAGATTTTCCACCCCATTTATCATATTAATTGATGAATCCGTAAAAAAAAAGAAGAAAAAAAATGTGTTCTCTTTTTTCATGCAGGCGTTGTTGCATAAGGAGATGATGGAGTGTTTGAGGTGCATTGCATCACAGTGACACAAGTTCATAGTCATCTAACACATGCATCTCCTTTGATAATTGGACACTACTATTCAGATACACCTAAATTATGACTATTGACTAATTTAGACCTTTTTACGAGCAGATCATGTTCAGTAGCATTTAGAGGAATAAGGGTCCTTTTCATTATCGTCGTAATCGTTCTTTTTCATGTCCAATAACAGCGCATGATCCTTTTACTTTTAGTCTAAGGTTATCCATGTCATGTGTAACAGAAGGAAAATGTCTCTTAGATAACAGGACAAAATAGGCACGCGCCCCTGCCGGCCCCTCTCTCTCTCTCTTTTTCAAGTTGTGGTGCATGCCATTAAACTAACTACTATTCCTATTGTGTCATAGAAAATGGCCCTTTTGACCAATGAAATGGGTGACCCATGATATGGGGATGAGTCTCTGGGATTCTGTTTTGTCTCTTTCTAGATACACAAGGGACATTAATAACGATGAAAAAGAGCAAGACGATAAAAATTGGGTAAGGTAGGTTCTAAAACTAAAATATTCTCTTTTATTTTTTATTTTTTTATAATAAAAGATGGTCATGCACATGCTCCTTGGTTATTGGGTCAATTTTAAGCATCCAATTTGCATATCAAGTTGGTCATGTATCTTATGTATTGTAGGCTAACTGTCCTGTGTTGATACTCTCTTACATCCCGCTTTACTCATGTCACATAACTTAAGTGGGAATTGTAATAACAGTATTTTCGCGCTGCTCGTTAAGAAAAAACGATTGTAAAAAATAATCAAATTTTGTTTTTTATTTATTTTTCCACTAATTCATTGATTACCTGACTGATTCAGTTTGAGCTCATAGAACAGTGAAGGTGGCAAAACTTTCCGTAACAAATTTTCAACCCAATTACCTACTCAGGACTTCAACTTAAAATGATTGGTTAGAGTGTCTATGAAAATTATTATATTTCCTATATTATAATTTTTTTCTATTTCTGTGTCTTGGAATAGTTTCTGAGAAAAAAATATGTTTGATATAACATGTTCTATTTTTATTCCGAGAATAAGAATTGCGTTTAATAACCCAACAAATGATATAATAAAAAATAATTCCTATTAAGCATAAAAAAAAATTGGATTGAGAGAGTGATTGAGAGAGACAAGTGTTTCTCATTTTGTGCCCGGGAATAAAAAATAGAAATTTTTTTATTCTTTTTTTTTTCAGCATAAAAGTTAAACTGGTTCATCCTGAGAACAAAAAAATAAACCGATTTTACCAAACGAATTTTCTATCTATTTCTATTCCCAAGAAAAGAATTTAAAAAAAAAACTCATTCCGGAAAGGTTGTCATACACATCCTTAAGCTCGAAAAACTCATTAGTAATTGATTCCTGTGTTTGGTAATAAATTCAAAATTTTAAACACACACATATATATATATATGTGTGTGTGTGGTCATATACACACACATATGCTTTAATGTTTTTATAGTGAATGTGAATAAATTATCTATATTCACTTCCAAAATGACGTCATTTTGGGTAAAAGGTTAAAAAATTAAAATAATAAAGACTAATATAACCCTGCAATATATTCGAATTACAAAAATACCTTGATTTTTACCTCAAAATGACGTCATTTTGGATCGGAAATCAAGGTATTTTTGTAATTCTAATATATAACAGGATTATATTAGTATTTATCATTCTAATTTTTTAATCTTATAATCCCAAAACGATGTCGATTTGAGCTCACTAGAAATAATTTTATCTCCTGAAAAAATATTTTTCCTATACTAACATGAAAGACAACTAAAATCAAGTTAAAAAGAACAATATATACTTAACTTTGTCATATCATCATTGTATCGACTTAAAAAGTAATAAAAAAATTATACAATCATTTATGGAAATATTGTTATATCATTAAAAGATTTTAATGATAATTATCTGAAAAACTTAATTGTAATCATATACTAACATGCAATATATTGAATGGTAGTGCATGAGTTTTTACAATACAAATAAATTAAAATTAAACCCAGAAATGTAAAATCACAATCTAACACTCATTTTTATATTATTTGGGTCACAACTTAACACACCATTTTTTTTGTTTACAACCTATGTAGCAGCATCTGATTAAACCATTAATGATATGGATTCTAAAACAATTTTAAACAAAAAGTGATTTACATTTTTTAAGCATGACAGATGATTTATAGTGCCTACGTAAGACATGCCAACACAAGCCAATACTGGCTTAACACATCATCAGTGACCTTAAGATATACTAATTTAATTCATTAATTCATTATTATATGAACCATCAGCTAGAAGCCAGGATAAGCCATTTTCATGGCTGCTGTTGGCAACACCACTAACACTAGTAGTTGTAGTACCACCATATTAAATGAAACAGACCTACACGGATCCAACTCCAAGCTCCAAAGAACCAATCACCACATCTTTTAGTGCAATATATGATCTAGCTAGTTATAATTCTCTATTAATTTTGTTGGATCCTCATAATTCAACGATAAATCATACTGATTTAAATATTTCTCAACCGGAAATGACCCTGATTTTATTTTATAAATTTTATTTAAATTATAATTATCTCCTTTTTTTTCTTAACGGTTAAACCTAACTCATTTCTTATTTTTTAAAATGTCGTTAAATATATATTATTTCGTAGAACTTTTTCAAGCTAGCACATATTACTGTATGAGATCTTTCATATAAATGATAAAAAGTTAAAGAAAGAAAAGGAATATATATATATATATATATATATATATATATATATATATATATATATATATATATATATATATATATTTGTCTTCTCTATGTATACCGAGTCTTCTTTTGCAGTGAAATTCAATTCTGCGCCCTTTTTTATGATATTAAAAGCACTACAAATAAAAATAAACTTCTGTAAAAAATATTATGAATTTACTTTTATTTATTGTTAGAGTAAAATTTGTTATATTATTATTATTATTATTATTTAATTGTATTTGGTCAGCTTGATGAAATTTTTTGACGAACTACCTATAAAGTAACTTTTTAAATAATATAAAAATATATCATTATATATATGATAATATTAAAAGACTATACGGTGACAATTTATTAAATTTAAACCCTTCTTTTACGATAAGATGTCTTTTGCGTAATGAATTAGCTTTGCACCAGAAAAATTTAGGAATAAAATGCAATGAATTTTTGGTAATTGGCACATAGACTTACAATTTTACGGAGAAAAGAAAAACGTTCCCTTTCCCCTTTTGGATAGATGCTCTGCGTGGCACTTACCTTCGCGCTGATCTGAAGGGATGATTCAGTTGGTTTTTCACACTTTTTTGTTACAAATGATTAAAAATCTGCTAAAAATGAATATTAATATTTAGTCTTGTATATGAATAATATATCAACAGTGATATAGTGGCTGCTGATTTGAATAAACGTTTATTATATATGTTCACAATTTGCCCAGCATGCAAATTGGACATATAGCATGACATTGGCCACAACATTTGTGATTTGATTTTGCTTTTTACATATGATATAATATAAATAAGGGTTTAATATCTTTTATACACATAAAAAATTTATTTCTTACACTATGAGAAACATTAAACCCAAAAATAAAATAAAACAAAACACAAAACAAAAGGTATATTTTTTATGGGTTTGGTATTTATCATTTTAAATGATATAAGTTATGTCATTTTAAGAAAGAGATAGACACAAGAAATGAAAATCATGAGAGATAGAAAGTGGGTAATATTTTAAATAAAAAATTTCTTGTGTCTATCTCTCTTAAAATGACATAACTTTATGTCATTTAAAATGACAAACACTTTTCCCATTTTTTTATTTAACATAATCATATTGATTACGTGAGAGATATTAATCATTCATACATAAGTCAATGATTACACTTTTAATGACAATTTCATAAAATAAGAAATAAAAATTATCACTTTAATTGACCCGTAAATTATAAATAAATGGTTGAGTTCTTTTACATTAAATCAACGGTGTTAAGATATGATTGTAAGAGGTTGTAAAAAAAAATGTTGTAAGTATAACCTACCTCTAAATGAT